CTTAGAAGGTCTCCAAACCGTTAACAGTAATATGTTATGTAGAAATGGAAGCATTTAGGGGCCAGCACTGTGGCATAGTGGGTAAAGCCACCAGCTGCAGTGCCAGCATCCCATATGGATACCAGTTCGAGTCCTGGCTGCTCCACTTTCAATCCAGTTCTCTGCTATGGCCTGGGAAAACAGCAGAGGATGCCTTACGTACTTGGACCCTTGCACCCACACAGGAGACCCATAAGAAGCTTCTGGCTTCGGATCAGCCCAGCTCCAACCTTTGCGGCCATCTCAGGAGTGAACTAGTGGATGGAAGACCTCCCTCCCCTCCTCCCTCCCTCCCTGCATCTGCCTCTCTGTAACTCTGCCTTTCAAATAAATAAATCTTTAAAAAAAAAAAAAAAAAAAAAAAAAGGAAAGAAAAGAGAGAGGGAAGGAGGGAGAGAGGGAGGGAGGGAGGGAGGGAAGCATTTGGAGTGATTCTTCCTGTCTCAACTTGCTCTCTCCCAGTTCCTTCACTCTCATCTTCCTTTTTATTGAACATTTTTTATAATTACTGAATAAAGCTAACAAAAAATAAAAAGGTCCTTCCAACTTTGGCATACAGAAATCTAATGAACATACCTGGGACTCAAAATTCACACTTGTCATTCTAGACTGAAAAACTACACACTTATGTTATTCTCATTTAAATTAGTGTTTCTTAAGGTTTAGCAACTAAACTATATTTTAGGTACATAAGAATTGTTTTCTGTTCTTGTTGGGATACCTTTCTGAACTATTTATTTATTTATTTATTTATTTTCATTTGACAGGCAGAGTTAGTGAGAGAGACAGAGAGAAAGGTCTTCCTTCCATTGGTTCACTCCCCAAATGGCTGCTATGGCCGGCACTGCACTGATCCAAAGCCAGGAGCCAGGTGCTTCTTCCTGGTCTCCCATGCGGGTGCAGGGGCCCAAGGACTTGGGCCATCTTCCACTGCCTTCCCGGGCCACAGCAGAGAGCTGGATTGGAAGAGGAGCAACCGGGACTAGAACCCGGGGCACATATGGAATGCCAGCGCCGCAGGTGGAGGATTAACCAAGTGGGCCACGGCGCCAGCCCCATGAACAATTTACTTTGGATTAATTCTCTAAGTCAAAAACTATCATTCTCCCTTCATGTTGTAATTTCTAGTTAAAACTAATTTTCCTCAAATAATATTTTTCCAACCACTGTTTTCCATGTTTCTTATTGTCTGCTCAAGAACCAGTCTCAAAGCAAGCAGAAAAAGCAGTTAGCAGCATTTCAATAATCTGGATAAACGCTCATCAAATAACAAATTTTATTAGGGCAGTCTTTATGACAAGTGAGCTGTCTCTACTAATCAACAAAGTAAGCAAGAATTCAGAAGAATACATAATAAAACTAATATCTCAATGCATTAGAAACTTCTTTTGCAGGGCTGGCACTGTGGCATAATAGGTTAAGTCTCTGCCTGCAGGGGAATCCCAAATGGGTTGCTGGTTCACATCCAGTTGCTCCATTACCCATCTAGCTCCCTGCTACTGGTCTGGGAAAGCTATAGAAGATGGCCCAAGTGCTTGGGTCCTTGCACACACCTGGGAGATCCACAAGAAGTTCCTGGCTCCTGGCCCCTGGCTCCAGATCAGGCCATTGCACCCATTTTGGGAATGAAACCAACGGATGGAAGATCTCTCTCTCTGTCTCTCCCTCTCTTTGCCCTAACTCCACCTCTCAATAACTGTAGGTGGTGGCTTTAACTGCTGTGCCACAGTGCCAGCCCCAACAAATCAACCTTAAAAAAATACTTTTGCATATAAGATATTAAATAATGCTAAATAACTATATTACAGTATACTAAAGCCATTAAAAATATTAAAACAATCTACAAGCACCAATACTTTCTTAGCCTTGGTCAAGACTAGATTTAAATTTAATGATTTTTTAAAAAATATTTATTTATTTATTTGAAAGGCAGAGAGAGAGAGAGATCTTCCATCCGCTGGTTCACTCTCCAAATGGCTGCAACAGCTGAAGCTGGGCTGATCTGAAGCCAGAAGCCAGGAGATTCTTCTGGGTCTCCTACGAGGGTGCAGAGGCCCAAGCACTTGCACCACCTTCTACTGCTTCTCCAGGCCATAACAGAGAGCTGGATCAGAAGTGGAGCACCTGGAACTCAAACCGGCACCCATACGGGATGCCAGCCCTGAAAGCGGAGGCTTAGCCCACTGCCCACTACGCCACAGCACCAAGCCCTAAATTTAATGATTCTTATTTAAAAGTTTTATTTATGTATTTGAAAGGCAGAAGCAGAGGCAGAGAGAGAATGATCGATTTATTTATTTGAAAGAGTTATGGTGGGGGGATATGAGGGATGGGGAGGGGGAGGGGGAGGGATGTGGATGGCAGGGGCCCTACTACTTAGGCCATCTGTTGCTGCTTTTCCCAGGCATTAGCAGGGAACTAGATTAGAAGTGGAGCAGCTAAGATACAAACCAGTGGCCATATGCAATGCTGGCATTGCAAGTGGCGGCTTTACCCATTACATCATTGTGTTGGTCCCAAATTTAATATTATAAAAATATCAAATAATACATATTTTTACATCATTCAGATAGTTCTTTACCATGACTGTTCAGAGACAGAGAAACTCTATTATACAGTTTTACAGGAGGAAAAAGTACAGACTTGGAAATATGGAGACCTAGGTTTTAGTTCTATCTCAATCACTAACTAGCCATATGACTTTATTTATTTATTTATTTATTTATTTATTTATTAAAGATTTATTGATTTGAAAGTCAGAGTTACACAGAGAGAGAGGTCTTCCATTTGCTGGTTCACTCCCCAAATGGCTGCAATGGGCGGAGCTTCACCAATCCAAAACCAAGAGCCAGGAGCTTCTTCCGGGTCTCCCACACTGGAGCAGCAGCCCAAGGACTTGGGCCATCTTCTACTGCTTTCCTAGGCCATAGCAGAAAGCTGGATTGGAAGTGGAGTTGTCGGAACTCGAACCAGCATGCATATGGGATGCTGGCACTGTAGGCAGTGGCTTTACCCACCACACCATAGCACCGGCCCCCACCATACGAATTTAGGAAGAGACTGAACCAGAGAAATAACCTCTAACCTCCTTTTTAGCTCTAAAATTACTTTGTTCTGAAGGGGAAAAAATCCTAAATGTAAAATTTAATGAATATGAGTAATTTTGAATAAAAAAAATCCTATTAATAATCACACTGAGACAACAGGTATAAACTACTATTCCAGGCATATATAAAAATATGGTCACTCACAACAACAGATATAGTGGTGCCTACTTACTGTTTTCTCATTTCTTGCATCCCTTAGAAACTGTCTTTCAAGTTAGCATATTTATTTATTTTGCTTTTGGGTTGGTTTTATTCTTATATTATACTAACTCTAGGCATTTAGAAGCTTCAGTTTTTCTCAGTCATTAAGAATTCTCTATATGTATTTTAGTAAGTAATCTATGTTCTCACACTGGCTTTAATAAAAATACATAAAGAAGAAAAACACATATCTTTTCTAGTATAAGATAGAAGATGTAACTATGTTGAACTGAATTTGGGAACTTGATGACTATGAAGAGTAACAACCAGTAATAGCATACTCATTAGCAGAATTCAGAATGTTATTTTAGGGGCTAGCACTGTAGCACAGCAGGTTAACCCGTGGCCTGCAGCACTGGCATCCCAAATGGCCACCAGTTCAAGTCTTGGCTGCTCCACTTTGATACATCTCCCTGCTAATGTCCCTGGGTAAGCAGTGGAAGATAGCCAAATCCCTAGGTCCCTGTACCTACATGGGAGATCCAGAAGATGATCTTGGTTCCTGGCTTTGGCCTGGCCAAACTCTCCCTGGTCATTGCAATCATCTGGGGAGTGAACTAGCAGATGGAAGATCTGTCTCTCCTCTCTCACTGTAACTCTATCAAATAAATAAATAAATCCTCAAAACAAAAAATATGTAACTTTATAGGATAATCAAAAAGGATCCAGTACACTTCAAGGCAACTGTCAAAATACAAAAATATAGGGGCAGACATTGTGGTGCAACAAGTCAAGCTACCACTTAGAATGCACACATCCCATACTGGAGTCCCAATTCAATACTACTCTGCTTCTCATCCAGCTTCCTGCTGAGGCATCCTTAGAGGCAACAGATGATGGTTCAAGTGCTAGGCCACTGCCACCTACATGGGAGACTCAAGTTGGAGTTCCATGCTCCTGGCTTCAGCTTGGCCCAGCCCTAGCTGGGCACATGGGGAGTGAACCAGAGCATGGAACACATATGTATGCATATCTGTAGCTCTGCATATAGGCAGTTGAAAATAAATAAATAAATTTTAAAAATAAAAACACAGAGCAAGGTTAGAACCTAAGAAAGCCAGGTTGGTATAATGTCTTAATATTCATATTAAGTACTCTTAAGCTATAAAGCTCATATTCCTCAGATGATCTTTGATCCCACAAATAATTATATTTATAAAAGAAAAACTCAGGGCCAGCATTGTGGTACAGTGGGGGGGTTAAGCTGTCACTTGCGATGCCAGAATCCCATATTAGAAGGCCAGTTCAAGTCCTGGCTACCTTGCTACCAATCCAGTTTCCTCCTAATGTGCCTGGGAAAGCAGAAGATGGCCCAGGTAATTGGGCCCTGCCACCCATGTGGGACACCCAGATGGAGCTATTAGTTCCTGGCTTCAGCGTGGCCCAGATCTGGCTATTGTGGCCATCTGGGAAGTGAACCAGTAAATGGAAGATTCCTTTCTCTCTACTGCTCTACCTTTCAAAAAGTAAGTACCTAAGTCTTAAAAAAATCAAAATATAACCCCAAATCTTTAATTTCCCAATTATCATTTGGGGGTCCCTAACATAAACCAGTTAATAGTCAGCTCCAACAAAAGCATGCTGTTCTCTCCTACATTCCATTCCAAACTATCATTTGGTTGGAGACTCGGAAAAATCTACAACCATACTCACCACTCGAATTTTCACAGAAGCTTTGTGAGGCATGGGCAGAGGCCTTCTCCAGCTGCTGGGCCTCTCTGCCTGAGTCCAGCTGCTTTGCATTAGCCACTTTTGAGACTTCTGTTAATACATTATCTGTTTTCTCTTGAGGTTGAGGCTCTTGTTTCTCCTGGTCGGGTCGTGGAGGCTCATTTTTTGCCTCTAAAGGCAAAGGAGGTTGTGCACAGTCTTCCCCTACAGGTTCCTTTTCTGCAGGCACTGCTTTCACCTCTTCTCTGTATTTTATGTTCTTTTCCTCCTGGGTATCTAGTCTTGTCTCAGCACACGGTTCTATTTCTGGAGCAACATCTTCCCATGACTGGGAATCTGAGCATTTCTCCACTCCCTCCAAAGGTTCACAAGAAACATCAACTCTGGGAGATGGCTCCTTCACATCTACAATGACAACACTCGAGTCCTCTGAAGTAGCTTCTTCCCACGCTTCCTGATCCTTATGTTCCAGTTCTTGGTCAATCACTGGTAGTTTTGGGGGAGAATCAATACTAATCACGCTCGTTTCAACTTCCATAGCTTCTGAACATTCTTGTTTTGGAACTTCCTTTTGAAGACACAATCCTTGGGACTGAGTTTCTGTCAGTGAAAGGTGCAACTGGACATTCTCCATATTTTCTTCTTTGGGCTCCTCTCCTTGACTTTCACAAGGAGTCTCGGGAATTTCTTCCACCTCAGACCCGGAAGATCCCTCCTCTGGATGGTGTTCTTTAATTTCCATAGCTTCTTCCTGATCCAGTACACTAGAGAGTGCCTCAGATCGAGTAGCTGGTGAAGGAACTGCCTGACTCCCTGAATCACAAGTGAGATCAATACAAACATCCTCTGCTACGGTTTCTTCTCTGACTTTGCAGCCAGTAGCTAAAACACTAATGTCATCTCTGGTCTCTGTGTCTTCTCCCTTTGTTTTGTCATCATTGTGACTCAGTTCTACTTGACCATCCTGTGCTGGATTCAACAAAATACTATCATTTTCAGCAGCAACAAGTTTAGAATTGAGAACTGGAGACATGGGCTCAGTATCCTCAATCTGTGTGTTTTCTCCGTCTTCATCAATCCTTTGAGAACCTAAGCTCTCCATCTTTGGGGACTGACTATACTCACTTGTAGAAAGCATCAACTTGCAAGAATCCCCTGTCAAAGAGAGGCCAAGATCCTCAGTGGAATTCTTTGGTTCAGACTCTGAGGTTTTAGAACACTCAACTGTCAAAGATGAGCTATTCAAATCTCCACCTTTCTTCCCGTCATTTGATTGGTCTTCCAAACTTGGTGATGGAATGAAAATGTCCTAAGGAAGAATACAAAGAGACAAATCCTAACTGTTCATAATCATATTTCTTTAATATCAAATCCATGGAATCCTCTAAAATTTATAAAGCAATTATTCAAGAGTTAAAGAACTCTAGGATCACAATCTCAGAAATACAAAGCCCATAATTACCAGTCTTGTCATCAACACTCTATTTAGTGCTTTTCTATGTTATCACTGATCTAGAATAAACATAACCCAAAAAACAAAACCTAAAAGTACTAAAGACACTTAAATTTAACTGTAAATCATCAAGCTACTAAAATCATGATACATATATAGATGATGGGCTCTCATCTTTTGTAATCTAACATTAATACACCGTTCATTTCAGATACCACAAAGAGGGGGATATTACTCATTTTACTTCCTACTATTTCAACATAAGCTAGCATTCATAAAGCAGATGTTAAAAAGTTTAAAGTATCACTTAGCAATATAAAGAAATGCTCACTAAAACCACAGTGGAATACCACTACATAACTCAAGTATGGCTAAGGTTAAAAAGACACAAAACCAACTATTGGTGAGGATCTGAAATAACTTCAATTCTCACTGCTAGGAGGAATGCAAGATATAGCCACATTGGAAAAGTATGGCAGTACCTTATCAAGTCAAACATACAGCACCATATGACCTAGAAATTCTACTAATAGAGAAACAAAATCATATCCACACAATGATATGTATGTAAATGTTCGCAGCAGTACTAGTTGTAATAGCTGAGCACTGGAAGCAACCCAAGTGTCTATCAACTGGTAAATGAATACACAGACTGGGGATATCCACACTATAGGGTAATACTCAACAATGAAAATGGAATAAACATGAATATATGTTAACAATATGAATAACTATCAAAAATACACCCAGTGAAAGAACATAAATGCAAAAGACCACACATACTTCATAATTCCAATTATATGAATTCTCAAAAAAAATTATGACAGAATGCAGATGCCTAGCACATGAGAGGGGAGCAGTAGGAAAGTCAACCGCAGTAGCTTATGAGAGAACTTTGTAGGGTGAGGGAATTGTTCTATACTTTAATAGTAGTGATGATGGTTATATTTAGAATATAGTTACCAAAATTCATCAAACTACACATTGAAAATGGTAATTATATTTTGTTTAAGAACAGAAAATAATTCAAAGATTAAATACATATTTTTAATATGTACTGTGTTAGTCTAATATTACAAAATTATAGACATAGCTGCTGAGGCATTCATTTCTTATGATTAAAGGAATAAGGAATCAAAATGGGTAGCCAAACATTATACATATTCCATAACATCTGGTATTTCAATGTGTGCTATTATTTATTCCTGTCAGATTATAATAATGATCTTAAATTTGAGATTTTCATATACTCGCAGAAATTACTGAAAATAAACTGGTTGGTGCTCGCCTCGGCAACACATATACTAAAACTGGAATGAAAATAAACTGGTTCAACATTTGTTTTTTTAAAGATTTATTTGAAAGGCAAAAATACAGAGAAAAAGAGGGAAAGACAGAAAGAGACAGGTCTTCCATCCAATGGTTCACTTCTCAAATGGCCTCAACAGCTGGAGCCAGGCTGGTCTGAAACCAGCAGGCAGGAGTTTCTTCCAAGTCTCCCAAGTAGGCAGGTACCCAAGCACTTGGGCCATCCTCTGCTGCTTTCCCAGGCACATTAGCACAGAGCTGGGTCAAAAGTGGAGCAGCCAGGACTCAAACCAATGCCCATATGGGATGTCGGCATAACAGGTGGGGGCTTTACCTACTATGCCACAACACTAGCCCCTGGTTCAACAATTTCAAAAGGCAATTTGGCAAAACAAAGCACCCTTGAAATTCTGTATACCCATTAACCCAATGATTCCATTTCTGAAAAATTAGTCAATAGAAGTAAACTGAGATTTACCAAAAAGACAGTGTGCTGCTATATTATTTTTATTTATAATAGGAAACTATAAAATGTCTAAATATCTATTAATAAGAGCATCACTTAAAACTATAAAATTTTTTAATTAAACTCATGTAATATGAAATTAATCCATTTTAAAATGAACAATTCAGTGGCATTCACTTCTAATTCCAAAACATTTTCATTACCCAAGAGCTAGTCCATATGTAATAAGCATATACTTAACACTGTAAATACATTTTAAGTGTTATCTAGGTAAATACTAATATAATTTTTAAAAAAACAAAACTTTATAATATAAACAGAATTTCAAAGAAATATTTAAGTAGTTAACCAGCCTATTAACAAGTTAACATTCCTAAAAGCTACCTGCATCTAGACATATCCTTAATGGTCCCTAATCATCCACAGCACTGAAGTTCCCTGAATAACTGAACCGGCACAGTGGGTTAAACTATCACTTGGGACACTGGCATCCTGTATCAGACTGCTAGTTCCAGCCCCAACTGCTCTTCTTCCCATCCATGCCCCTGGGAAAGCACCAGAAGATGGCCCAAACACTTGGTGGCCCTGCCATCCACACAGGAAATTGGACACAGTTCTGGGCTCCTGGCATCTGTGGGTAGTTGGAGCCATCTAGGGAGTGAACTAGCAGCTGGAAGACCTCTGTCTATGTCACTCTGCCTTTCAAATAAATAAAGCTTAAAAAATAAATAGGCCGGCGCCAAAGCTCACTAGGCTAATCCTCCGCCTTGCGGCGCCGGCACACCGGGTTCTAGTCCCGGTTGGGGCGCCGGATTCTGTCCCGGTTGCCCCTCTTCCAGGCCAGCTCTCTGCTGTGGCCAGGGAAGTGCAGTGGAGGATGGCCCAAGTGCTTGGGCCCTGCACCCCATGGGAGACCAGGAGAAGTACCTGGCTCCTGCCATCGGATCAGCGCAGTGTGTGGGCCGCAGCGCGCCAGTCGCGGCGGCCATTGGAGGGTGAAACAACGGTAAAGGAAGACCTTTCTCTCTGTCTCTCTCTCTCACTGTCCACTCTGCCTGTCAAGAAAAAAAAATAGATAAATAGGGGCAGGTGTTGTGGTATATCAGGTTAAGCCTCCACCTGAAATATCAGCATCCAGTTTTAGGGTGCCGGTTTTAGAACCAGCTGCTCCACTTCCCATCCAGCCCCCTGCTTGGGCTTCTGCACCCATGTGGGAGACCCAGAAGCAGCTCGAGGCTCCTGGCTTCAGCCTGGCTCAGCCCTGGCCATTGTAGCCATTTGGGGAGTAAACCAGCAAATGTGCATGTTTCTCTCTCCTCTCTTTCTCACACTCCCTCTCCTCTCCCGCCTCCTCTTTTTAAAACAAATAAAAATAAATAAAACCTTGATTGAGTTCCCAGCTTCTGGATTTGGCCTGGCTATCAAAGCCATTTGGTGGACTGAACCAACAGATCGAAGATCTCTATCGAACTATCTCTGTCACTCTGCCTTTCAAACAAATATATACATAAAAATCTCCTCAAAAATATTTTAGGTGGGGGCTGGCGCTGTGGCATAGTGGGTAAGGCCGCCGCCTGCAGTACCGGCATCCCACATGGGCGCTGGTTCGAGTCCTGGCTGCTCCACTTCCGATCATGGCCTGGGAAAGCAGAAGATAGCCTAAGTCCTTGGGCACCTGCACCTGCATGGAAGATCTGGAAGAAGCTCCAGGCTCCTGGCTTAGGATCGGCGTAGCTTCAGCCATTGTAGCCATTTAAGGAGTGAACCAACAGATGGAAGACTTCTCTCTCTCTCTCTCTCTCTGCCTCTCTTCTCTCCATTTAACTCTGACTTTCAAATAAATAAATAAATCTTTAAAAAAAAATTTGTTTTTAGGGGACGGCATTGTGGCGTAGCAGGTAAAGCCACTGCTTGCAACACCAGCATCCCATATGGGCACCAGCTCTAATACTGGCTGCTTCACTTCCAATCCAGCTCCCTGCTAATGTGCCTGGGAAAGCAGCAGAAGATGATCCAAAGACCTGGGCCCCTGCTACCCATGTGGGAGACCCAAATGAAGCTCCTGTCTTTGGTATGGCCCAGTCCTGGCCACTGTGGCCATTTGGAGAGTGAATTAGTGGATAAAAGATATTTTTGTCTGCCTCTCCTTCTAACTCTGGCTTTAAAATAAATAAATCTTTTTTAAAAAAATTCTTTTTAAACCTGGAGTCACATGTATAGAGTTAAGATCCATTCATGGGGCAGGCATTGTGGTGCAGTGGGTAAAGCTGCCACCAGCAATACCAGCATCCCATGTGGGCATCAGTTCATGTCCCACTGACTCCAGTTCTGATCCAGTTCTCTGCTAATGGCCTGGAAAAAGCAGCAGAAGATGGCCCAAGTTCTTGGGCCCCTGCACCCATGTGGGAGACCCAGAAGAAGCTCCTGACTCCGGCTGGCAGTTGCAGCCTTCTGGGGAATGAACCAGCCAACGGAAGATCTCTCTCTCTATCTCTCTCTCTCTCTCTATTTCTGTCTCTTCCTCTCTGTCACTCTTTCAAAAAAAAGTCACTAATTTAATCATCTATATACGGACATCATCTCCAAAATTAACATGTATTCCAAGAATGAGAAAACTGTTAAATATCAAACTACGTCCTACTAATTCTCTCCCCATCCCTCACATCTTGCTGAAGTGTCAAAGAAGCGATGAAATTAACAAATACTAATGTATTTGAGAAGAAAGAAAATTTTTCAAAATTATGTTTACCCTTTTTATTTGTAATCCTCTCTATGCAAATATTTAAAGATTACAACATTAATATTAGGTTAATCTGGACTACAATAACCAAAGCTCAAAAGAAGTAACAGGTGGCAGTGGTTGCTCGTTAAGAATAATGCACATGACTCTGAAATACAGTGGGGAAAAAAAGGTACTTTTCAAATAAAAATAGTGAATTAAATACACACATCTACTTTAACTGTTTTCTGAAACCCTCCTAAGGAATGATAAGATTTTTTTAAGCCACAAATTTTCAGGAAGAAAAGAACAGAGAAAAAGGTGACTGCAAAAATATTTTGAAGGAGTAGTAATCGCTTTAGC